CGATGTGGACAAACCTGCGAGCCAGCTCTTCCTTCGCAAGCAGAAAACGCGTGCTATTAAGGTAGACGAAATTATCCTGAGACATCCCAATAGTATGTTATACTTCCGTCGGATAGGATTTAGCGTGCGCGGGCGAGGTGTAGTAAGCACATAAATGTATAGGCTTGCACGTCGCTCTACTACGGTGACGAGTTCTACAAAATACAGATAACCTAGGATGCGACCGGATGTTCTCCTCGAAGCAGTGGAACGGCAACCGTGCGCATCTTTGCCGAACGCTGAGTGGAAGGTACCAGATATCCGGCAGTCGACGCAGCTAGCAAGTCTCTCTCTCCCGGAACATCCTCTGCCGGTGCTGATACCACTTGCACTATATTCTGCGTCTCAACGTTATGTATCTCGATGGTGTTGTTGGGGAGAAGCGTGGTTATATAAGGGTAGTCGAAGCAAACTGATTTTGGGTGGGCCGGCCATTCCAATGTTCCTCGCACAGGCTCTCCATTACCATTGACGAAGATACCCAGTGCTGTCGCCCCAGTCCATGAAATGAGAAGAAATTCAGCAGGGCCGGTGACCGTTATGAAGGGAACCACGTCGACGGGAGGATATGCTTGGCAAAGTGGCAGAAGAGGAAGCATTTGAGCTGTTTCCAAATCAACCACGTTGTAATTTTCCTTGTCTGCGAAGCATAGGCTGTTTCCGGAACGTCTTGCTAAGGTCCTGATCCCTTGCGGTAGCGGTATCTCCTGTATTGTGAAGAGATGAGCGACAGTCAACTACCGAGCCTGTTAAGATTCTACCTTTAAGAATAACAACTTCTCGCGTAACGAGTAAAGTTGAGTAGATGTCCTTTTTATCACCGAGAACTCCACAGGCTCAACACGGGTTATCGGTCCAGATGGAGGCGGCGCGGGACGCATGAGGTGTTGGTAGTCGACAGCAAAGGTTACGACGTGACGAATGGGTTTTATGATGTTGTAGGCTACGACGTCGAGGGAAGGTAAGGTATAGAAGTGAATCTGGCTGTCTGAATCTTCCGTAAATTTGGGTTATTGAAGGGGTGACGGATGAGCTATGACGGACCAGAGAGTACCAGGACACGCGAGATGCTCGGTAACAGAACGATCTCGTCGACCGACTTTTCATTGGGAAGACTTTGACGAGACAGGAGTTGATAGGATTCTAGCTAGAGTAACGACCGAATCAATAGATAAGCCTTGGAAGAGAAAGCCCAACACTCACCTTGCCAGGATCATCAGCCTGCAACGCGAACCGCATGAGCTCCCCATTAGAGCAGCCCAGATATATTTCCGTCCCTAAACGTAGCACTTGAGGAGGCTATCCTTGCTACTGCTACATTCACAGTCACCGTGGGCTTGAGCACATCGCACTTCGACACCTTGAGGAAGAGTGGTTTGAGGTATACCTGTTCTCAAGCTGAGATTGACACACAGACGTGAGAGAAAGAGGAAGAGAAATACGGACTGGATAATACATTGGATATCAGCTCTTGAAGTTGGAACGGAGGGACCTCTGGGACGTTCAAAGACATCGTCGAGCGACGGTTGTGGGTGTCAGTGTGAAAGAGGTTCTGGCGTTTTGACGCCCACAATCCAAGGAATACGCGAGCCTTTAGTGAGTCGGAGCAGTATGTCCGTAGCCTCTGATAATCAAAACTCACAGAAAGACTCATAGCTTCTGAAATCACATCGTACAGATGATTCGAGAAGAGCAAAACATAGTATTTAATATGGATGTGACTTTCGCTACTATCTAGAAATCCATCATCGCCCTGAAAGGACATAGCGTTGCTAGCGAAAACGAAGTCATTCCCTCTTCGACGATATTCGAACATGAGAATTCGAGAATACCACCTCCATCTGGCTCGAAAATGCGCGACAGAGGCTTTACATCGCCGTTGAAAGAAAATCCGAAGAAAATCAATCGCGCGTTTATATGGTCACGGGACAGGATATTCAAGCCCCGACATCACGGGCTTACCTCATCGAACAGCCATCTCCGATTGTTGACTGGCTCGCTTGGACTCTCAAGTCACGACCTACGACGCGACGCGTCTTTGTTTACCCCCATACTCATCTTGAATACCTCAACTATCATGTCTACCTCGAAACCGGCGTCCCCAGCGACGGGAGAAACAAGTTTATCCAAGTTCTGTCTTGAATACGCGGCCACAGCAAGATCAAAATGCAGATGTACGTCCCGAAATCAAAAAGGTCATCTCAGAGAAATGAATAACCTCTCTTCCAAACAGATTGTAGTACGTTCGAGAGGTTTCCAAAGACACACCCTTCCTCTAATTGCTTCGACAGACCAAAGGATTGATAGAGGTGCTTTTCGGTTGGGAATTGCCACCACGGCCAACGGAAAAGAAGCTTAGTGCGTCACAGCCTGTGTGATTGACATCAAGACATCTTCGCTGAACTCGCCCCTTGCTGTAGTGGATATAGACACTGGGGATGCATCAAACCCGAAGAACTCCTGGAAATACAGAAACTCGATCTCGGCGAAGTCTCTAAATACGACGAGTTGCACGAAGACGATAAGATCCGTTTATCAAAAGCAGTCGAAGCGGGGCACATCTCGGAGGAGGATCGCCTGGACCAAACGGCCAAGTCCAATAAGGCCGCGGAGGAACTAAAGGAGCTAAAGGAGGGGAAGGGGAAAGAGAAACAGGACGAAACAGAGAAGAGGGAGAGAAAGAAGTCGAAGAAGAGGAAGGAGATCGAAGACGAGGCAGATAAAGCTGCAGGTAAGTCCTTACAAACCCCTGTAACTAGAAGACATTTCTAATGTCATTACAGGGACAGAAACCAAAGCGAAGGTGAAGACCTACTGTTCATTCTAAAGGCGTCATTAACCTCGGGGAGTGTAGAAGCAGAAAGCGGAACAAGCCACCCCGAAGGCTGCTGAGGCACCCGTGAAGGAACGGAAAGTGAGGAGAACGGTCAAAATGCAATACTCATGATCAGGGCTTCTGACATCTCTCCATTTCAGTCACCTAGGAAGTCTAAGGCTCTGGCCGACGTGGTCCCAGATAGCGAAGATGATCAGCCCATTGCTCTGAAGAAGGCATATCGTTTCTCGTAGTCATTTCCAACTCAGGTCTGACATACGTTCGTGGTACTAGCCAGCAGGCAAGCCCGTCAAGAAGCCTCGAGTCGACGGGAAAGACAGCTCGAAGTCCAAGGAGAAATCCAGTCCGAAGGTGGGCGATAGGCTCCGTATCTCTGGTCACTCCATTCATCTTATAGAAAAAACGAACCTCAGAAATCGAAAGACACTGGATCGACGACCAGTCCTGCGAAGGGTGATGACACCATGGTAAGTTGTGTCTGTGTTGGTTCTACATCTCGGCTGATCGATATTACACAGGACGTTGACGACGATGACGCCCAGGAAGTTGCAGACGCTCTGAAGGCAAAATCACAAACTAAGGAGACCGACAAGGACAAAAAGGTGGGGTCTTCTTATTTGCATCTGCGGAAGCATTACTCACGTCCGGCATCGATTGTTTTCTGCCCCTCAGCAAGCCGAAAAGGTAGGCGTTGCACATCTGCCGTATCGTTATGTCTACTTATGGAGCTTTTGAGCAGCCCACCAAACAGCCTACGAAAGCAAATATGAAAGCCGTCGAAGACCAGTCAGGAGCCTCCCCGACGGCCAAAGCCGTTCCAAAAGAAACCCCGAAGGCGCTGTCCAAGGTCTGCACACCTGCTCATTTCTCGAAGAAACAAGACTGATCACGACATTACCCACAGGCGACTACCTCAAAAGCACCGGCTCAAGATCCGGTTGCACCCTTATCGAAGGCCGCAAAGTCAAAGGTGTGACCCAAGTCTTTTTGGTGCACTATCATCGAAACTCACGAGGCACCATCTGTCTCCTAGCCCACCGACACTAAAGTCGAGAAGCCTGTAAGTGCTTCCCTGCACACACTCGCCTCTCATTCGACTGACCAACGTCCACGCAGACGAAGTCAATACCCAAAACCCTGACCTCGGACGCCGAATCTTCTGACAAAGCAGGCCCTTCGACGCCTCAAGGCCACAATCCAATATATCTCAACTTGGGCGATCTTTTTTCTAAACCCAGTCCGGTAGCAGCAGCAGCGGCAGAAACCTCCACACCCCGACCTCGACCTCCGCCCCGTTTACCGCTGGGCAAGTTTTGCAAGCAATACAAGTTGTCGTCGTCGCTCCATGAGAAGCTATCCAAGTTGGATATTGACGGGCCTCATGTCCTGCGGTTGATCAAGGATAGTGCGTTAGAGAGTGAAGGTTTCTCGATTGGGGAGGTCGCGGGGTTGAGAGATGCTGAGGAGAGATGGATGGCAGATAATACAATTTGAGGATGCATATCTTATAAGTATATCGAGCGGGTTGGGGTCAAGTGCCCACTGTTTTGTTTGTTTGTTTGTTTTTTTTCGACTAGACTCGGACGCTGTTCTTTGATCTTGTGTACATGTATCACATCGTATTGTGTTGTTTTCTTTGCAGAGGACCAAGGAGGCGGTTTTGTATCGGATAACCGACAACGGGAGCGTCTTGCAGATCGATCACCTGTGCGTGATACCAGATATCGAATGAAGACAACCCCGAGCTCCAGGCCAGCAACCTGTAAACGGGACGCCAACGTCCCAAATCATTTACCCAAAGATGACCCTCTCGCAACATCCATCGTTCTGACTGCTGGCAGTCCTGGACAACTGGGGATGACCCTTTGGGAAATTGCGAATCGTTGCGAATCGTCTGACGGTTAGGTTTGCTCGATGACATGTGCGCCGTACGGCGGCACTGCCAGCGATTGCAAAGGCGAAGTACATCGTGGTTGGGATCACGCTGTCACGTTGAGTACGTTACTAGGTGATGAGATGCTCCGATCTCAGGTGCTGCTAGGGGGATACGGCCTTGGTGTTAGAGACTGCTTGCGATTGAGGGCGCTCAAGAGCAGGCAAAAAGTGGTACAGCATACAGACAAATTGCTCCCTGCAAGGCTCGAACTTGCGACCTCAGGATCGTGACTCTCAGAGAGTTGCATACCTTGCGGTATGAGACCTGCGCTCTAGCCAACTGAGCCAAGGAAGCGATGCCGCATTGTCGGTTTTGCTACTGTATCAGATGGTATCGTGTAACAAAGCACACAGTCTGTATCGACGATATAATATGTATGATAATCCCAGGAGTTCAGGTTCCAATGTCAACATTCAACTTCTATCAATGCATCAGCGCAAACTACAGCCGACGACTTTTCTCGCTCAATCCTCCCTTTTCGTTACCAGGAACCGGCCTACAAGTCCTCAATAAGGGGCACAGGACCCACCGGTATAATTCTCGTCGGGTTGATATTCGGGTGCGACCAATAGTAACCCGTCTTGATATGTTCAAAATTCGTCGCCTCCTTGAACGCAGTATTGTTCCAGTACAACTTCTTCATCCACTTGTTAATCGCTGGGTACCCATTCCTGATGTCCCGAATGTTGCATTTGAACAGGCTGACGTAGACGGGATCGAAGCGGATCTGCAAGTTATCGTCAGATGGTTGAGTACTGACAAACTAGAGAAAACAAACGAACAGTTGTAACGTAAGTCCTAACATCCGCCTCAGTGAGCTGGTCGCCGATGATATAATCCTTGCCGTCCAGGACCTTCTCCAAACGATCCAATGAGGTGAATAGCTGCTTCACAGCAGCCTCATATGCTTCTGAACTGGTTGCAAATCCAGCGCGATAAACCCCGTCTACAGATACGTGATATCAATGAGAAATCGACGAGAACGAGAAGACAGCTGAGAAAGAGAGAGATTGAGCTCACTGCTGATATTTGGGTAAGCCCACTCGTGAAGCTCTTCGATTTCCTTCCTCAGACTTTCGGGATAGATATCCACCTTGGCCTTCTCCGGATCGACGAGATCGTTGAACGCGGAGTTGAACATTCTGATGATTTCAGAAGATTCGTTATTGACGATCGTCTCGTTCTTCTTGTCCCAAAGAACAGGGACCGAGAACCTGAAGTTACAGCCCGGCACGATGTCAGTTCGTTCGAGGCTGCCACGTTGAGGCTATAGCGCACCTTCCACTATAGTCAGGCACACACTTCAAGTACAGGTCCTTGAGATGTCGAGCTCCGTATAGAGGATCGTTCTCGGCACCTGGAAAGTCATCGGCCGAGGCGAAGGACCACCCATCAGCACCCATGCGAGGGGATGCGATTGTAACAGCTACATGCAATACATCGATCAGTCAGAAAACACCCTGCGACGCGACTGGCATGAATAGTAATCGGACATACGGACGATTCCCTCTAATCCCTTCAACTTTCTAACGATCAAGGTACGCGTGGCCCAAGCTACCACAGCATTCGATAAGAAACTCTTCCTCCTTCACGGCGATTCAGAGAGCTGTTATACGCACGGCAAGAATACGATGCGTATAGATGGTATCGATCTGGTCAGAATCGAGCTTGAGCCCTCCGAATGACCTTTGAAGCACAGACCGCTGACACCGGCGCACCTTTCTCAGGCTCGTATTTTCCTCCTTTCTCGATGACATCCCTGAACGACGACGCAACGCGTTTGAAGGACCCATCCTCTGCATTAAACGCGGCCTTAGTGATATCTGTTTGACTGGAGACGTCTTTTGACATAGTAGATAGATGGCGGCGATGAACACTAAACACGAGAGAGTTAAGGGATCTGATCATTGACGTGGGGACTGCGAACTTGGGTATATAAAAGGACGACTTCCCGCCCTGACCGGAGTGATCAATAAGCAGGTATGTCATCCCAAGATTCTTTGGAGTGCCACGGTGCTGAACTTTACTCAATGGAGTCTAACCGCCCGAGTGAGTGAGATGCGCGCAGAGGATATTTTGAGCTCGTGGAGCTTAAGGGTGACATGAAAGTTTATCTTTCTTCCCTTTTCCTTCTCTTACCACGAACTCGCCTATATACGCCTACAAGTCCTCAATAAGAGGCACAGGACCCGCAGGTACAATCCTTGTCGGGTTAATGTTTGGGTGCGACCAATAATAGTGAGTCTTGATGTGATCAAAGTCCGTCAATTCTTTGAATGCGGAGTTGTTCCAGTACAACTTCTTCATCCACTTATTAATTGCCGGGCACCCATTCCTAGTGTCCCGAATGTTGCATTTGAAGTGACTGACGTAGACGGGATCAAAGCGGATCTGCAAGTCATCGTCAAATGATTGAGGATTGCCAGCAGAAGGAGAGAAGAATAGACGAACAGTTGTAACCCAAGCCCTGACATCCGCCTCGGTGAGCTGGTCACCGATGATGTACTCCTTGCCTTCCAAAATCTTCTCCAATCGGTCCAAGGAGGTGAACAACTGCTTCACAGCAGCCTCATATGCTTGCGGGGTGATCGCGAACCCAGAGCGGTAGACACCATCTATACATACGTGAACTCGACGAGACCAAGAAAAGCGGGACGGAGCTCACTATTGATATCCGAGTAGACCCACTCGTTGAGCTCATTGATCTCCCTCCGCAGATGTTCAGGATAGATATCCACCTCGGCTTTCTCGGGATCGACGAGGTCATTGAACGCAGAGTTGAACATTATGATTATCACGGAGGACTCGTTGTTGATGATCGTCTCATTCTTATCCCAAAGGACGGGGACTGTGAACCTGAGGTACGATGTCAGTTCGTCTGAGGCAGCAAAGACCATCGCGCACCTTCCGCCATAGTCAGGCGCACACTTCAAGTACAAGTCCTTAATATGTTGAGCTTGGTATAGTGGGTCATTCTCGGCGCCGGGGAAATCGTCAGCCGAAGCGAAGGGCCACCCATTGGCACCCATGCGGGAGAAACCACGGTCGCAGCTACATGCAGCATCAAAATCGTCAAGGTTATGAGGCATGAGGAGCAATACGTACGAATGATATCCTCCAAGCCCTTCAACTTTCTAACGATCAAAGCACGCGTCGCCCAAGCTATAACATCAAGTCATAAGAGATCCTTTCACACCCAAGAGTCTGTGTATACGCACGACAAGCATACGAGACGTATAAATGATATCGGTAGGCTGTTCAAATTTCACCTTTAGCCGTCCGGATAACCTGCGAAGAACGGCACTCGCTGCCCAATCACCGCACCTTTCTCAGGTTCAAACTTTCCTCCTTTCTCAATGAAGTCCCTAAATGTCGAAGGAGGACGCTTCAAAGTCCCATCTGCTCCATAGAACCTGCCCTTGGTGATATTGGTTTGCCCGGATACGTCTCTCGACATTGTGGGCGATGGACGTGACAGGGATTTTGGGGGGCATAGGGAATGGGAATCTGAGGTTAGTATAAACAGACTCTTGTCGTGATCCTGAATTGACATCGCGACCTGACGAGAACGCCCAATAAGCAGGTATCCCGAGATACTTGTCAGCTGGCGTTGAGGTGCCATCGGTTGATCATCTACTCACCTTGCCTTAAGAGGTCAACGCCAAAGGACTCTGGATCTCGGTAGAGAGATATGATAGGTATGGTGAATGGTAGCTTGAGCTCACGGGATGAGGTGAGCGACGGCTTTATGCCCTGTCGTTGAAACGAAGGGATATTAGGCGCTTCAACTCACATCTTGTTCCAAAAAGAAGTTCTGGCGTTGCACGATAAAGATGCTCCGAAATGACCTGAATTGTGATATGATAATACAAGGGTGACATGAAGATTCATCTTTGCTTCCTCTACGTTACCATGAACCCGCCTACAACTCCTCAATAAGGGGCACAGGGCCTACTGGTACAATCCTCGTCGGGTTGATGTTTGGGTGCGACCAATAGTAGTGCGTCTTGATATGGTCGAAGTCCGTCGATTCCTTGAACGCAGAGTTGTTCCAGTACAACTTCTTCTGCCACTTGTTGATCGCCGGGTACCCATTCCTGATGTCCCGGATGTTGCATTTGAAGTGACCGACGTAGACGGGGTCGAAACGAATCTAGTAGTTGTGAAAGGCTTGAGCATGGATGAACGATGAAGTCAAAGAAGAAGTAACGAACAGTTGTAACCCAAGTCCTAATATCCGCCTCAGTGAGCTGGTCACCAATGACGTATTCCTTGCCTTCCAAAATCTTCTCCAAGCGGTCCAAGGAGGTGAACAGCTGTTTCACAGCAGACTCGTATGCTTCTGAGGTGATCGCAAACCCTGAGCGGTATACGCCATCTACAAAAGTAGCGTCGATCAGGAATCGACGCGACCAAGAAAAGAGAGACAGAGATTGAGCTCACTGTTGATATCCGGGTAGACCCATTCGTTGAGCGCATCGATCTCCTTCCTCAAATTCTCGGGGTAGAGATCCACCTTGGCCTTCTCGGGATCGATGAGGTCGTTGAATGCGGAGTTGAAGATCCTGATGATTTCAGATGATTCGTTATTGACAATCGTCTCGTTCTTCTTGTCCCAAAGAACCGGGACCGTGAATCTAGAGTACACTGTCAGTTCGTCGATGAGGCTGCATTGAACGAGTGGCGCACCTTCCGCCATAGTCAGGCGCACACTTCAAGTACAAGTCTTTGATATGTTGAGATTGGTATAGAGGGTCGTGCTCGGCGCCAGGGAAATTGTCGGCCGAGGCGAAGGGCCACCCATCGGTACCCATGCGAGGGGAAACGACGGTCACAGCTGCATGCAACTTCTAGGTCAGAGAGCCGTCAAAATTATAGAGCATGAATAGCAAGACGCACGAATGATCTCCTCCAGCCCCTTCAACTTCCTGACAATCAAAGCACGCGTCGCCCAAGCTATATCGTTCGATAAGGAGACCCGTCACTTCCACAGCGATTCCAAAGAGATAATAGACACACGGCAAGCATACGACACGTATAGATGGTATCGATCTGTTCAGGATCAAGGTTCAACTATTGGAATAACCGTCTCACTCGATGACCGCCTCACCTTTCTCAGGCTCATACTTTCCGCCCTTCTCGATGAAGTCCCTGAACGACGAGGCAGCGCGTTTAAAAGACCCGTCTTCGCCGTGGTATTTTCCCTTGGCGATATCAGACTGATTGGAGACGTCTTTGGACATTGTAGACAGATGGCGGTGGTGGATAAGAAGAGAGGACTTGGGCCGTGTGGG